TATATTTATTATACTTTTAATTTATATTTTTAAGCCACAAATTAAATAAATATATTAAAAAAAATTGAAGGGAGCAATAGAGTGAGAGTGCTTGTGCACTCGCGTAGCACTTCTCTCCTTGAATTCTTACATAAATAATTTGTTTTTAATTAAATTGCACAAACCTGATTTATGAAATCACATAATCATTATTGAAGGTTAAATCATAGCACAATATTAGATTAATTGTATTAGAAATTTATAATTGAAGAATTAAGCCAAAGGTTTCGGCTCATTGATGGTGTTTGTTTCTATGATCCAATTGGGTCAAATTCACAAGATGTAATTATAAATCAAAGGCTGCATTTTTGACCGAGCTTTACTCTTAAGCGTGTGTGTTAGGATATTCTCCAATAGAAATTGAAGGAGTTGCTGAAAGTTTCAACCTTCCTCCAACATGCACTGTGCTTTCATTTTCTAGACCGAGTAAATAGGTTTTGATACATTCAAATTTATTATTTACTACATTACTATGAAGTAATAAAATTGAATTAAGTTTAATGGTGAAGAAGAAATCTAGTTTTGAAAACTGAATTGGTGGCAAAACCGTGTTGATCACCAGATCCGATTTTACCAATATATATCAATCAATTTTGATCAATTTAATCACTAAACTACTTTATTCTAATTAATCATTTTTATTAGAGATTATTGACATAACTAACTTAACCGATCGATCCAATCATCAAACCAAACCAATCAGTCCGGTCCAATTTTGGAAACACATGAATACATAGTGGTCCAGTCCCTATCTCTTAAAAAAAAAAAAACAAATATTTGCTAAAATCAAGCCATTTTTTTATATAAATTATAATAAAATAAAAATATCTTGTAATTCGATGCAAAAAAGTCATTAAATTAAAAGAAATGCATGATATTAAGAAAGAGTCCATTCAACAACTAACGTTTTATACTTAAATAATGTTATAATTATAATATTTTATAAAATTATATATTTATAATTATTATGTAATATTATATTAATATAATGTATTATTAAGTAAATAAAAATATATTATATTATAAATAAACTTTTAAATAAAAAATTAATATATAATGATATGATATATTCTAAATTTACAACAACTCATGATATTTAACTTTAACATTTTCCTTTATCATGTGAACCGTTCATATATTTATATATATGGAAAATTGGCACTAGAATATTATTACTAAAGGTTAAACATATACCGTATGGTATACATAACGCATCAAGACACATCCCTAGTCATGCAGTAAGTAAAACAAAGTAAGTCCAAACTAGATTAGGAGCTGATTAGGAGGGCAATTAGCCCAGTAATGAACTGCTCATAAACAAATCATTGCCATTTGAGATAGATACTAGTTTGTTCTAAATTGAAGTTTAGATGGATCCCAAAGTCAAATTCCCTTCACTTTCCTTCCACCCCACACCTCTTTCTTTGACATTTCTCTACGGCTCCACACCCAGAAAAATTTTTTTTTTCTAAAATTAATTAATCTACTTTAATTAAATTAAATCCCGTATACTACTAATATTAGTACTACTAATATTAATATTAGTAGTAGAGAATTAAATAATTACACCGGGAAACAGAAAAAACAAAGACCAAGCTCCCCATACGCGTTTACCTCTTCTCTGCTTTAAATCCTTCACCTTTCTATCTCTCTGAATTTGCAGAGATACATTCATCGTTAGTTTTCCTCAATATCCGATACCCATTTCCGTTACAAACTTTATTTGTTATAATTTTCTCAAATTTGTTGTCTTTTTGTGTCTGAAATTCTACCCATGTCATGAAAAACTCGATTCAGATCCATGGGAGGTGATTCTGTGTCGTCTTCTAATCATTCTTTCACAATTCAAGCGTTTTAATGCTCTGAAACGCTCCAGATCCATACCCATATAGAACCCAAATTTGCATTTTCGGTTTGTGAATTGGAATCAGGGACGGTGATTGAGGAATCCCATTACCCAGATCCCCAAAAATGAAAGGCAAGAGCAAATTATTCACGATCGGGTTGGTGGCGGCTTGGTATTCGTCCAACATTGGGGTTTTGCTGCTTAACAAGTACTTGCTTAGCAACTATGGGTTCAAGTACCCGATCTTTCTCACCATGTGTCACATGACCGCCTGTTCTCTGTTGAGCTACATCGCCATAGCGTGGATGAAGATGGTACCAATGCAGACGATTCGATCCCGCGTTCAGTTCTTCAAGATCTCCGCTCTCAGTTTGGTGTTCTGTGTGTCGGTGGTGTTCGGTAACATCTCGCTAAGGTTCTTGCCGGTGTCGTTTAACCAGGCGGTTGGGGCTACGACACCCTTTTTCACGGCGGTGTTCGCGTACTTGATGACGATGAAGAGGGAGGCTTGGCTCACGTATGTCACCCTCATTCCGGTGGTCACAGGGGTTATCATTGCTAGTGGGGTATGTATGACGCTAATTTTGTTGAATGCAAAATTCCATTTTTATTGAGCTTTTAGAGGATAAAGGATTTATTTTGATTTTGGATACGTGTAAGCTTTAATGGCTCTAATTTTGTTGAATTTAGTTATTCGGAGTACTAGTAATGTTCATGGCATTTTTTTGTATTATAACATGGATATTCATAAGTTGGATTCCACCAGCTGCCCCAAATGAATTCCCTAAATTGCTGAAAGATTTACGTGGTCAGAGAGTTAGGATTCCTGCACTTTTTTTGCAGGTCGTCTTGAAAAACACATTTTTGTTAAATCTATTCTTTACTTTAGAAGTGAAGAAAGTCTCTTTTAAGCTCTATTCAGTTGCTGCCTTGCTGGAATTGCTATCTACTCCCCGATGAAAAAAAAAAAAAAAAAAAACCCATTCTTTTCGCTGTCTCTTTAGATATTGTAATGGTCATAGTGTTTAATTTTGCAGTTTTAAATGTATCTTCAATTTAAAGTAATGTCCGTGTTCTATGCTTCTGATTTTCATTATTATGTTTCTTATGTGGCCTCAGGGTGAACCGAGTTTCCATCTATTTGGATTTATCATGTGTGTTGCAGCTACTGGTGCAAGAGCTCTGAAATCAGTGCTACAGGGAATTTTGCTCTCTTCTGAAGGGTAAGGATCTCTTCTGGGTTATAATTTTGGATTGATGGCTTAAATTTTAGATTCTGCTCTATAACCTGGAAATGCAGCTAAAAGCTTGTTATTTTATTCAAGGGAGAAGCTGAATTCCATGAACCTCCTTCTCTACATGGCTCCAATAGCCGTTGTGTTTCTGCTTCCTGCAACACTTATTATGGAAGAAAATGTGGTTGGAATTACAATTGCTCTTGCCAGAGATGACATGAAGATCATCTTGTATCTGCTATTTAACTCAGCACTAGCATATTTTGTAAATTTGACCAACTTTTTGGTCACAAAACACACCAGTGCGCTGACTCTTCAGGTATACTACATTCTGTGCTCTTAACATGGTCCCTTTTTGTTTCAATTAGTCTTATATATGAACTGCTTGTGTTTGGTTTGGAGTAAGTACTCAAGTGTTTACTTGTTATACTGGGAAAAAAATGGCTGGAAGCCTGGAAAGTTGGATGCATCATAGGGTAAATACCCTCTGTGTTTGAGAATCTATACATTCATATATAGAAGGAAGGTTTGTTTTTATTTTTTTTATTTTTTTATCTGAGTGGCCCTGAGTTTTGCTTTGCCTTATTAAGTGCTTAAATAATCCCTCTAGTATCATGTGTCATTCTTTTACCGAAGTTCTGTGTCCTTATGTCGTCACATAAAATAATATGCTCTTTAGGCAGGACAATCTTTATCACAGGAAAGAGGTCTTAATGTGATAGGTGAGGTTACTGTGTCTTTGGAATCTTCGTGGAAGATGACAGCCAGACACTCTCAAAATTTCAACAAATCATGTTTTTTTCCCTTTTTGTGATGAATTCAAGCAATTATTTGCTGTCATTTTCATACGTTTTCAATGCAAGTCTTTTTCAAGTTTCAGATTATCTTCTAGGTCACCTTGAAGCATTTTGAGATGATAAAATACTCTGGTTACAGGTACTAGGTAATGCAAAGGGGGCAGTGGCAGTGGTGGTTTCAATTTTAATCTTTAGAAATCCAGTTTCTGTTACTGGAATGCTTGGTTATACACTTACGGTCTTTGGAGTTATACTCTACAGTGAAGCCAAGAAACGAAGTAAATGAAATCTCATTTTGGGATAATGTTAATGCAATCGCCAACTATTTTGTTTTTCCATACTGTGAGGACAGCGGCAACCATCAAAGAAGCAAGTTCAGGCCATATTGTTGCAGACGGTGGGTGGATGGGTGGATTTTACGTCCTAGATTGGATTTTTTTGCCTGGAAGCCTGGGAAACTGGCTTCCACCTGTATCAGCAACAACTGCAGAATTAGACCAACTTAGAGAAACTACAATAAGTAGTTGATTTGTCTCTGTTAGTCCCCGTTCCAGCTTGGGGTTGTAGAGAAATACTATAAATTTGTCGTTTTATTCTTTCAGGAAAGGGGTATTGGGTTTACACAATCACTTTGTTGTTAACAATTCTCATATTGATTAATTAATGGAAACACTAAATTTTTATCATCATCTGTTTTTTTTCCTGAATCTTTTAGCAGAAGAATTGTGGTGTTGAAACTGTTTGATCTTATGCTCATTCACCTTGCAGTTCAACATGTCTGTTAAATTTATGTTTTGCATAGACACAAGAAAAGAACTGTTAAATGATTGCTAAAACTTCATGGAAATATGTTACTGAACAAACGTGAAGGATTGGTGGCCTTCCATAGTGCAAGGAAACTAGCGGATTTCTCAATGTCAATGACACTCGGACTATAGTCAGACATGCACGGCTCTTCAGTGATACTGAAGGGGCAAGGGTGCTCAAATTTGAATCACCCCTGTACTTGTCCCACGCTGTGCTTCAAACTGCTTGCCTTTGCAATAGAAAAAGAATCAAGAGAGGTGTATAATGGGCGTCTTCCATTAGAAAGCTCAAAGATCTATAATTTGAGTTATCTCATGTTACATAGTATATCATCATATGAGATGAGAGGATGTGATGAGAGATTTTCATTTTTGTAATATCTCACAATTGAGGTTCTAACTCAAAGTTATTCAAGATGTGAATATAGTTCTCTTGTAAAAATCACAATCATATAGAAGTCAGGGGAAGAGAAGAAGAGTAGAACGTGAGAGTTGAATATCAACTGTAAAAACACCCAGGAACAAGAATGCCATTTCAAACATGGCATGTTTGTCACAAAAGTAAATTTAGAAACTACTAGAAATTATTCCCTCTGCTTATGACTGTCATGTAGGGGTCATTTACAAGGGGAATGCATACCTGTAGAGCAATTCACACCAAGGACATATGAATAACATGAAAACGCAGAAGTATAACATAGAGGCATCAGAGGATTAGTGGGAAAACGCACCAGCAAATTAGAGAAGAAGGCCACACGTATGGATAAATAAATAAGGTATTCAGGCATCTGGAACAGAGGCTGCTGCAGGTTTGATTGATGCAAAGTTATAAGATGGTTGTATCTTCTTTTCTCCCTGAAAAGCCATAAGATGACTTTTAAGTTAGAGACAATGAAGTAAAAAGCCTTTACGATTGTTAATCTATTGTGCAATTCCGCCTCTAAAAACAAAGAAACAAGTATACTCTAAAGATAGTCTAGACTTATACAACATTAGGCATAGTCGGCTCTCTTTAGAAGGAATCTTAAAGAAGCATATGAAGTTTTGAACATTCAAACAAGTTGCCAAACTCACATACTCACACCTGGATTGTAACTAAGAACATTTGGAAACAGGGGTCAAAGAAGATAGTGCAGGTGTTGGAGTTGTGGTGTCAAAGCTGCAACACAGTGGCAGCAAAGTGACAGCACTATAGAGCTGCACAAAAATGGCAGCAAATCTTTTGAATGTATTCTTGCTTTCAATGTTTCATAGATTTTTCTGTATTAGGTAAATATTAGGTGAGAAAAGCACTGTTTTATGTTATGTTGTGTTGTTTCTGTTATAAATAGCAGAATATCAATGGAAGAAAATGGCTTCTGACCTCACCAAATGAGGTAACTCCGGGTGCCTGTCTCCTTCTTGTCCAGGTCCTCTCTCCCCCCTTTTTACCACCAAAAATCTAACATGGTATCAGAGCTTCAGTGATCTTGAGGGACCTCAGAGTGATTTTGAGAGAACACCAAAAAACAAGAACAAAAAATAAAAAAATAAAAAAAAAACCCGAAAAAATCACCTTTCTATGGATTCCAGTAGGTTTTGTAGTGAAATCCTTCTTCCATTTTTAGCTAAATCACTCAGCAAGTAATGAAGGCATAAGTTAGGCGCACTATAGCTCAAGATCAAGCATGGTGAGGAGCTGGTGTGGAGAGGCAAGCCGGACCAACAAACAAATTAAAGGTGTTTATGGTACCTACAGCCAGCAGTTCAAAGGGAAAAAGAATGTCCAATGAAGGTGCAGCCTGAGAAAGGAAGAAAACTCAGAGCATGCATCAAGTCTTGTTCACCATAAAGTTGAATATGACCTGTGACCCCAATGAAGCTGTAGATGGAAATGAAAAACAAAGAAAACTGAGTTAACTTACAGAAAAGCTCAGCAAAGATCCAAGGAAGGACAAGTTGTTGAAATGGAGTTGCTGAAAATGTTTATAGCTCGAATAATTTGTTAGAGCAACAAATCCAAGCAAGATGAAGCTGCAGCATTGTAGGAGGAGCTGAAATGTTTATCCAAGCTTTAACACCAAGGAGAGTGTTGGAGTTGTGGTGTCAAAGCTGCAACACAGTGGCAGCAAAGTGACAGCAACATGGAGCTGCACAAAAATGGCAGCAAATCTTTTGAATGTAATCTTGCTTTAAATGTTTGATAGATTTTCTTGTATTAGGTAAATACTAGGTGAGAAAAGTATTGTTTTATGTTGTGTTGTTTCTGTTATAAATAGCAGAATATCAATGGAAGAAAATGGGTTCTGTGATAGCAGAAAACATCCTCAAACAAGTGTGCCAAACTCACATACTCACCCCAGGTCATAACTAAGGATGTTTGGAAACAGAAGTCAAAGAAGACAGTGTAGGCATTAGACAAGCAAGTCTTGTAATTGCAGAAAAGGTCCACTTAACGATGTAGCATAGCATATTTTCAAACCATACCTTCCTGAGCGGATAAGCAGTTTTTCCCATGGTAGCACATTTCAGCTTTGCTAGGCGACTTCATCTGTAATCAAATCAAGCTATTGGGGATCAGAAAGCAAGAACAATTGTAACATATCCCAGACCATAAAACGAATTCTCCCACTTCTAATTTAACAGTTTAAGACACTCATTTTTGTAAGGAAGTTTACTGGTTCCAGAGTTAACTTCCCAGCTGATTTTACAGCTGTTAACAAAGAAATTCATGGCCAATTAAAAGGCAAAACACAACTTTCAAGGACAAAAAAAAATAGCTTCATCTGGGGAAAAAATTTGGGATGTTACAACTTTACCTTTCAATATATGATGTGTTCCATACCCACATCAACAGAAGAACTACGTGGACCCTTTTGAGAACCTACAGAACATCAAACAAAAATTTAAAAAGTAAAAAGAACAGTCACAACTTTCAAATGGCAGCATTACATTAGGATCTAGGTAATTGTCTGTCAATTTGCCCCTGAAAGATTTCTTGACATAGAATTACAACTAATCATATATACACCCATTTCTGCAATCAATTTTCATGAGATTCCTACAACAGTGAATAGAGTTCAATAAGAGAGGTAAAGTTACTTTCTGAGAGTGAAAACAAAGAAAGCTGTATCCATGGTGTGTAGTTCACAATCAATGTGTCGCTGCATTTCACTTCTAAAATGAATGAATATATCATTATTTTCTTACAGGGCTCACCTCAGGTATAAAAAATTAAAAATTATTTGTCAAGCTCAGATATAAACAGTGGATGAAAAGTAAACCCATCATGAAACTTTAAGCAGAAAAGCATGTTGAACACAGTTCTGGTGACCAGTAGTCAAGACCCACGAATAGCAAAGAACAACCAAATTGTGAGAAAATAACAAAAGTGCATACTTCAATCTCCACTAGTCCGGCGACCAATCAAGAGCCATAAACGCACGAGGAAACACCAAATTAACAAGCTTTCCAAACTGCGGACAATCAACCTAGTAGAAAAAAGACATTTTCGCAAAATCAACGGATTAAAGGAAAACCCTAAAAAGGCTTCGAATAAATCAATATGAAGAAATCATCTTCACCCTGGGTAACAAACCATCTAAACTGATAAGCAGCAAAGAAAGAACCTTTTAAGCAAAAAGTACCCCAGATCACATGGAAAAAAGGCTATCATCAAAACGGGTCAACGGTGAATCGGTGTGTGCTGGTTCCAAGTCCTTGCCTGAGCCAGCCGCTTAAACCTAAAATCCGGACAGGAAGAATCTGCATAGTGCATATATAAAATAATACAGGAGAAGATGAAGGGTGAAGAAAATTCACACACAAGCGGTTTTGGTGGACCACTCCCTTTGAAAATCTCAGCTTGGACGAAGAAAATGCGAATCATCGTCAAAAACAAACTGGAAACCGACGAGCTTCGACATTACTCCAAGATTCAAATCATGTCTTTGCATTGCAAAATTTTTTTTCTGACAATGATCCAATCAAGGCTAGGATTGGATAAGATTACACCACATGTCCAAAGGGCCGCATTAACAAGTCAAAACCATATGTCGTGTTTATTTATTTATTTTTTAAAAAAGGGTAATTTATTTTTTCTTTTGGTAAATAGATAGATTATATTAATTAAACCAAAGAAAAATACATTAAGGAAGTCAAAAAAATAATCACACCAGAACTTAGCAGGCTAATCAACACTTAACATTATTACCTATTTTCAAAAAAAAAAAAAAATCAACACTTAACAAGTTAGTTAATCTTCATGTGACTGTTTTATTATAACTTAATATAATTTTAACTGCAATACAGTTTTTTCATAATAAAAACTGATAAAAAGTAAAAAAAAAATATATCTATATATAGACTGTTGAGAAAGAAGACCTGTCATATCTTTGGAGCAGTGCTAGGGGCACTCGTCTCCTGCACTCTCTGGCCAACAACCCTTTCATTGGGCCACGTAAGGCTGTTTAAGCTCTGAAGTGCAACCTCTTGTCGAACTAAAATAACGTGGCCCAATGAAAGGAAGAGTGCTGGCCGGAGAGTGCAGGAGGCGAGTGCCCCTTGCACTTCCCTAATTTTTGTTGAGAAAGAGGAACCTGTCTATTTCACAGTAATACAATATCGTTGCATGAAATGAAATAGGTTTCTAGTTTGCTGGTTCCGCAGAGGGTTCCGGATTCCCGTCTCCGGAAGCCAGGAGTCCAGACGTG